CCTCATTATTCCAGGGCCACTGGGTGTCTTTTGCCATATAGGACTCTTAGGTTGGTCCCTGCCAGCCCCTATAAGCTTGTTAAAATCACCACCTATGTCCTGTCCCATGTAACCAGATCTCATCTGTGCCTTCCCATACTTGCTATTCCCTCTAGGTTTGGGGAAAGGCAGGAAGCTATTTCCTCCAAATTTAAGCATCCTTTCTTGGAAGAAGGAAGGAGGCTGTGCTGGATAGCTTTAGTTATAACTTGACATACCTGTGTAGAGGGAGCCTCAATTGTGGAATTTCCTCTATTGGACTTGCCTGTGGCCATGTCTGAGGGGCATCTTCTTGATGAGTGATGTGGGAGGGCCCAACCCACTGTGGGTGGTGCCACTCTTGGGCAGGTGGGCCTGTGTTTCATAAGAAAGCAGGCTGAGCAGGGGCCAGAGGAGCAAGCCAGTAAGGAGCATTCCTCCATGGCCTGTGCTCCAGCTCCTGCCTCCAGGTTCCTGCCCTGACTTCCTACCTTGGGTTCCCTGATGAACTGTGACCCGGGAGATATAAGATAAATAAACCCTTTCCTCCCCAAGTTGGTATTGGTCAGAGTGTTTTGTCCCAGCAACGAAGAAACAAACCAGGACACTGAATAAACAGAGAGGTCATGGCCAGCTCTCGTCTGTTATTACCTTGCAAAACTCATTCATTTTATCTCCTTCCCCACTGTGCCCATGTAATTATAATGATAAGAAAGGATCAGGTTTACTAAATATAGCACTCTTAGATATCTGAGTATTGCCAATCAACCATATACTACCTATGTGCCTTTTAAACTTCTCGCTAAAAAAAGGGGGGCGGTTGCTAGAGAAAGGCTCGGAGGATAAGAATGCCCTCTGCTCTTACAGAGGACTAGAGTTTGGTTTTCAGTGTCCATACCCACAACAGGTAGCTCACAACCAAAACTCCAGATCCAATGAATCCAGTGCTCTCTTTTGCCCCTGTTGGCACCTGCATGCATGTGCTCCTACATGTAGACACACAAGCATACACATGAATAAAAATAAAATATTTTATTTATTTTTATTTTACATGTATGAGTATGTAGCCTGCATGCATATAAGCATACCTGTGTTGTGCAGTGCTTGCAGAGGTCAGAAGAGAGTGTCTGATCCCCTGGAACTGGAGTTATGGATGATTCTTAGCTGCGGTGCTGGGAATACAAACTGGGGTCTTCTGTAAGAGCAACTGGTGCTCTTAACTGCTGAGCCACCTGTCCAGCCCCATAAAGTACATTTTAAACTTCTTGTTATCCTGAGCATCAGAGTCTATGATGTTGTCAACTCTGTTTTGAAGTCACCTAAAAATACAGGTGGGACCATAGCATACAGAAAGTATCAAGGGAGAAATGAAGAAAATGGGGGCAGTTTAAATAGGGAGGGTGGGGAGGGAGGATAAGACAGGGAGAGAAAGAGGAGAGCTAAATAGTGCCTAGCTAGTATAAAAAACAAGAGGGAATTGTATTAGTCCAAAAACTTACTGAAAAATTACACCCGCACTGTCCCTACATGAGTTCATGAGTGTAACTGAAGACTACATGACAAGAAACAGTGCCAGAGATGAGAACCCTTCCTTCGAGTTGTTGGCCAAGGTAGTCCAAGAGACTCCCAAAATTACACAGGCTATTGCCACAGCCCTTGATTGCCTCCCAGAACGTGATGGTAAGACCCTATTGCTGAAGACAGGACATACTTTGGACACAGGATTTAGAGCAATGGAGCTGGAACTGACCTGGAAGCCACCTCCCCTGCAGGCTAGCTCTCATAGCTTTGGAGAGCACTACACAAGCTGGTAAGGGAGAACATCAATCGATGGGCCAACCCCAGCTTTAAGCTCTAATAACAACATCAATGACCGGCAGAGCAGGCCAACCCCAGCTTCAAGGTCTAGAATCTGCATCAATGTCTTTAAAATCCACTCAATGGGAGGAAACTCACGTGTGGTACTATAAACCTAGGAAAATACACATAGCTGGAGAGGTCATAGATCTTAGAGAAAACTCCAAGGCTGTCACATCCCTAGACAAATGTAATTACTTACTATGTGCAAAACATGGATCCTTAAATTTATAGACGAGTATCCCAGTTACCACCATCAAAGAGGCTTCTTTTTCAAGAGACAGAGAGAATTACAGAGTTGTGGAACTGGTCACACACAAAGATTGTGAATTGCCCAAGTCTAAGTGGCACATCTAGGACACAACCTCTATACCTAAGGCTCACGGAACATAGAACAAGGGATGAAGAGAACACTAACACATCTTTCAACTCTCATCAATGAAGTTCCCTTAGAGAAACAGGAATGCAAAAGGTCACAAATGGCCAAAACGCAGAGAATAAGAGTCTGCAGAGTGTGGGTCCTCGGACAGGACTCCTATATTAAAATCCACCCACCCAGGGCTCAGGAACCATTGTGGAAGAGGGGGTGGGAAGATTGTAAGAGCCTGGGCGGAGGTGCAGGAACATACAGAAACAGTCCTACGGGTACCTTGGACCCTTCTCATACAAACCTACAGCAATGATGTCAGCACGCACAAGACCCATGCAAACTCAAGCTGACAAAAAGCACAGAGCTGTGTAAATGAACATCAGGCCTCAATCTTAGTTGAATTATTGGCAGCTGATTACTGCTGGGTGGGGAAGAGCTGATTTTCTTAAAGGGAGGGACTCTAGATAGGTGGACTAAATTCCAGTGGATGAACTTGCACTGAGGGACATCTGGGGACACTGACTTGACGTGATAGGCCTTAAACACAAATGACAGAATGTATGAACTCCAGTAGGGGAGTGGGCTATGGGAGAGTGCCAAAGGGGAAGGGGTTATAAAGATGGTTTTCTGTATGAAATACACAAAAATTCAAAAATAAATAAATAAGTAATAAATACTGGGCCTAGGAAGATGGCCCAGTCAGTAACTTCTTACTGTGCATGAGGACCTGAGTTTGGGTCCCCATATAAAAAGGTGGGTGCAGTGGTGTGTGCCTATAAGCTCAGCACTGGGGAGGTAGAGAGAGGAGCAGGTATAGATAGCTTTCTGGCAGCCAGTCTAGCAAATTAGTGAGCCCCAGGTTCAGTGAGCGGCTTTGTCTCAAAAAATAAAGCAGAGAAGCAATTGAGATACCTCATTTTGACCTCTGGTCTTGACATGCGTAAACAGTTCCACATACATGCGTAAACAGTTCCTCATATGGAGAGAAGAGGAGGGGAGGGGAGAGGACAATAAATGACTGCATATGCTTGTATATTGTACATAAAAGTACTGCTAGCAGTTTTCCAAGCTTGAACAGAAAAAGAAAATCTTAAAAGTGAAACTTAGGCTGAAGGAATGGCTCAGTGGTTAAAGCAATTTCCTGGCAAGGGCAAGAACCAGAATTTGGATCCTCAGAGCCCAGCAAATGCTGGGTGAGCATGGTGGCCCATCTGCAATTCCAGTCTGGAAAATGGAAGCAGGGGATCCCTAGAGAAAACCCTATCAATAGGCTTGGAGTTTGATTGAGAGACCCTGCCTGAATAAGTTGGAAGACTGATGGAGGATGATTCACAACATCAACCTTAGGTCTCCACATGTGCACATGCACTCACCACACACACACACACACACACACACACACACACACACACACAGACACACACAGAAAAAGGAAAAACAGTGGAGCTCTGTTCATTCTGTATGATCTTTCTTGAGGATATGTAAACAAACTATTTACCTGGTAGGGCACAGATGACGGCCCAAAGAAATTGTTACCCAAAATCTAGACTGCTGAACAAGTGCGGTTATTCAGGTTACTTATAGGAACATGGGTGAGGGGTTACTTACAGGAGCATGGGTAACTGAAAGATAACTGCATCACCAAAACACCCACCCCAGCCCAGGTGACCATGTATGAAAGCTCTAAGCCTGGTGCTCCTTGTTCAACTTGCAGGCAGATCTGCTGAAGAGTCTCTTCTCATACATCAATGAAAGCATGTTAACCATTGAACCATCTCTTCAACCTAAGTTCCACTTTTAAGATTTCTCTTTCTGTTCAAGCTTAGAAATTACTAGCAGCATTTTTATGTGCTTTAGGCTTGTAAACGGTTTCAGAAAGGGATGTCAAATTTTAGGAGTCATTTCAAACACCAAAAGTTGTCCTTTGGAATTCATACTGTATTGGCAAACAAAAAGAACTTTTATAGGCAGGAAAACAACCTAAGAAAAATATAGAAAATTCACAGAAAATTTGTATCTGAATCATAAACACAGTTTATGAAGTATTACCACATTAACAGTGACATGATTTCCTCCAGTCACCAAAGTAACCTCACATTAGGGTCTGTATTTTTGTTATAGTGAAATAATTTCATGGGGAGGAAATCTTTGCCTGTGTGTGTGTGTGTGTTTACATGTGTGTGTGGTGTATATACATATGCATGTGGGGGAAGGCAGAGGTTGATATTGGGTGCATATCTTCCATGGCTCACTTTTTTGAGACAGGGTCTCCCATTTAACTTGAAGTTCAGTGTTTTGGATAGACTGACTGGGCAGCAAACCCTTAGGATAGACCTGTCTCTACCCACCTGGGGTTACTTGTGTACACACCATCAGGCCCAGGTTTTACATGAGTGCTAAGGATCCAAATTCAGGTCCTTTACCCACTGAATCATATCTATAGCACAACAAGCACTTTACCCACTGAATCATATTTACAGCTGAGAAATCTTTTGCTTTATGGTACAGAGGATTGAGTATAGATTGATCCTTGTGCGTGCTAGGCAAGCCCTCTACCTCAGAGTCCTACTAAATAGCTTATGTTGGCCTTGAACTTACTCTGTAGTCCAGGCAGGGAAGGAAATTTTATCTTCCTGCTTTAGCCTCCCAAGTAGCTAGAACTAAAGGCCTGTGCCACAAGGCCTCACTGGAGTCTTGGTCATCATATGGGAGTCACAAAAGAAACAAACCCATCACTAGTGATGGAGGAAGAACTCCCTCTCTGCCTGCTTCATTATTTAACTAACTGAGGCTTTTGTTATTTTACCATTTTATAGTCAGGTTTTTCTGTCTGAGCATTCAGAAGCCTGCATCCAGATAAACAGTACATTTTAGGCCTGAGTGATTTGGTTCATTCATTTCTCTTTATTTAAAATGAATCTCCTTGATTGCACTTAATGCCACAGAGTGGGGAACTGAAAAATAATGAGGATAGTAAATTTTATTCAATGTGTATTTAACCATAATTTTAAAAAAAGAATTCTCTTTTAAAAGGGATATTTATACTTATTTTTTATTTTCCCTTCTCAAAAGTAATTGTTGTGTGTTTTTAAAGCAAAAAAATCGCCTAAAATTATGTCAATCTTCATGTTTGAATACATGTTTGGAAGACATGTGGCTCCCCAGCTGAGATTCCTCTCAGGAGCCTGTTGCTACCAGAGCAGTGATTAACACTTGCCTGTTTATTTCAGGGAAGTATATTTGGAACACTAAGTGCTAGGTTTAAGGAAAAGGACTGTATGGTAAGGTCTTACTGTGTTATGCAATGTGCTAGGCACTGTTTTAAAAAGTAATCCTCACTGTAGTGCTAAGTAACATTCTTCCTCATTTTACATATGGAGAAATAGGCTTGAGAGGTTCGGGAACAGACCCTGGAGTTCCACAGTGAGGCAACAGCCATTCCTGAATCAGGCATTGCTGAAGCCAAGTGCCTCCCTAGTGGCCCAGAGAGCATTAAACAGAAGCCAGGGACCTCCTTGTGGAAAACTGTCACAGTCCTTCACCATTCGTCCATTTTTGGTTTTAAACAGAAAGAACCCACAAAGAAAAAACAAGATGAAGAAATAAAACCAATCGATGATGACAAAACCAAGCAGATATACACGAGCTGGAAAGAAGATTCTGAATGGCAGGCATCTTGTGAGTACCCTGGGCCTCAATAGAACCTTTCAGTCTCTCAGCTGTACCCTCTGCTTAAAAACATGACCCATCTAGGAGGTCTGAAAATGTGTCCTCAAGAAACATCTTCACGCTGAGTTGTCAGTCAAATGTTATCACTAAGTTGTTACCCAGACGCCTCAGCTCCTTCTGAATAGCAAAATAGCTTCCCATTCATCTTTGTACCATTAAATTAGGATGTATCTATAGGGTGGAATGTCTTCTAGCTTTGAAGAAACACCCTATGGAAGAGTTTTCATTGACCTTAAAACATGTTTGCTTTTGCTTGGAGAAACAAATTACAAATAGTATGAATACCATATTATTATTATTTATTTATGTATTTATTTATTTATTTATTTATTTATTTATTTATTTTTATTTTGTTTGTATGAGTGCTATGCCTACATGTGTGTAAGTGCACCTGCGTCATGCAGTGCCTGTGGAGGTCAGAAGAGGCTGTCAGAGCCCCTGGAACTGGAGTTATGGACAGTTGTTAGCCGCTGTGTGAGTACTGGGATTTGAACCTGGGTCTTCTACAACAACAGCCAGTGCTCTTAATCACCATTCCATCTCTCCAGTCCCAGAAAATATTGTGTTTTTAAAAGTCTAAATTTTGAAGGAAAAGAGCCGGAAGGTTATTAACATGTGAATGTTGGTTCTCTTAGAGTGACGGGATTTCAAATTACTTACTTGAATTTTACTTCTTGTTACTGTATTTTGGTGTCTCCCTCAATTTTCAAAAGTGCATGCATTCTTTTTAACTTTTATGAAAACTTTACTGAGAATTTCGTACACGCATATGAGGTGTTTTGATCAAATTCATGCCCACTCCCTTCCCGCCAACATTCCCCCCTCTGAAGAGGTAACCCTAAAATCTTTTAAGGATTACATACAAGCTCCTTTGGACCACAGTATGTTGCTAACAGGCCCAAGGACATTTTGACTTTTAGCCAAGAAACTGGCATGTATTCTTAAACTTTTCTTATTTTTTTGTTTATTTTCATTTCGTATGTGTGATTTTACCTGCATGTACCTAAGTGCACCCATGCCATGCAATGCCTGCAGAGGTCAGAAAAAGGTGTAAGAGCCCCTGGAACTGGACTCATGGATGGTTGTTAGTTGATATGTGGGTGCTGGGAACTGAACCTGTGTTCTCTGCCAGTGCAACTAGCGCTCTAACCACTGACCAATCTCTCCAGTCCCAGTTTTCTCATTTTAACTGACATACAACAGTTGTTCTTACAGGGCACACTGTGAAATATCTATGTTTATTTCCCTACATAAATAAATATCCATGACTTTGTAAGCAGAACACATTAATGATGCGCTGGGTGTATTTGTGTCAGTCTCCTGTCTCTGACCCAACCTTGACACTCTCTTGAGATTCAGTGCCAGAGCTAAACCCCACAGAGGAAGAACGAGTTGGGCAGAGATGGGCAGGACAGACCTGAGAAAGGATTAGGGTTTCCAGCTGACACTAACAAAGAAAACTCAACTTCCAGATCACCCCTGAGGTAGGTGGATCAAGAGAACAGGATTAGCCATATCTGCAGATGTGGAAATCCTGCACTGATCTGCAGACTCATTACAACACACACTATTAAAATGATGTTTTGTGAAACAAAAATATTTGCAAGATCCAATCTGTGGTCTTCTTGTGCTGTGTATTGACCCCTAATATAACAGAATATTTTGGTATCTCTTCAAAATCAGACACGGCAGGATTTGACCAATAATTCTTAAATATTAAAAAGAAAACCTTAATAAAATTATTCTTGCAGCCAAAATTAGTCCTTATTACTTATTGTATGTCTAAAACATAACAAACCTACCTCTATTTTACTAAGTCATATTAAAAGGCATCCCAGGATTTGCTTGTATATGTACTAAAGTGTTCTGCAATTCTCCAGAACATGTTTATGGGTAAACATCCCTTTATATTCTGTCTGGCAAATTCACATTCAGTTAGGCCCATAGTGGGCTCTGCCCTTGACAAGCCTCACTGCTTCAGCCTGCTCACATGCCCCTGAGTGCTCCTGTCTTCCTGGTTGCTGCTAACGGCTTGGGGCACATTGCATCCTGAACATGAGCGTGCCAGTGATGGGGCACTGGCCTCTCATACTCGTGTTTCCACCTATTGGAATCTGCTGTAAGGCTGGGCCTCAGGGCTTAGTCTTGTCCTGTACATTCCACTTCTGTCATCCCTTCCTCCTCCTTTGCTTTGCCTCGTCCAAGGTTTTGGTGGGTCTCTTTCTTAGAGCGCCCCCTAGCTGCTAAATGCAGAGAGGTAGTTTGGTGAACTTTAAGGTGTGTACCATTGGTACTGAGCATGTTAATAGGAGCAGATGACCAATTTTGCCGGGAGCCTGCTCTGTGCATCACTGTGCAGGGCTGGGCTCCTGTGTCTGAGTTCTGAATGTGATATATGCTGAGCCTGACAAACTCTATCAAACACTGTTGTCTTCCTAGTGAGAAAATCAAAAGCGGCTGATGAGAAGAGACGCTCCTTAGCTAAACAAGCCAGGGAAGACTACAAGAGGTTATCCCAGAGAGGAAGGAGTGGCGAGGGGTTGCAGAACCCTCTGGCTGCTCCACAGAAGCCCAGAAGACCTCCTCTACCCCCCAAACCCCAGTTCCTACACCCGGCGGGATACCCTCCAAAGTCTTTAGGGTAAGAAGCCACATAGTCATAAGCACTGAAATGGGCTAATTAAAGCCTAATCTGTGCCACGGGACACACAAAACCAGCTCGCTGCTCTGTCAGCTCAGGATCACTTCTAACCTTGCTTGCTTTCTTCTCTGTAACATATCCACAGTGTTTACAATTAGTATACCCAACCACTTGGTGAACATGCTCCTGCAGTTAGATGACTTCCTGTTCCCTGACACACCCAATGGCAGCTCCCAGACTGTGAGGAGAAAAGGGAACAAGGGAGGGTCTTTGATGCTCACTGATGCCTCTTGGGATAAGAAAATTACAGCAGGATCCCGAGGGCTGGTGGACTTTCAGGCATCCCTAGGAAAACTCTTAGTGCTGAGGAGTCAGGGTTTTGGTGGCCGTTCTCTTTTTGAGATACATAGCCAGAGAATTTGGAAATGCTCCTTTTGGAACCAACTCTCTATTTGATGATGATGGTACCTTTGACTTCTAGGTCAAAGAGGTCGGAAGAGGAACAATGTGTGCTTCAAGGTAGTGAAGAAGAAAACAGTGACACCCAGAAGAAACCCACTTCCTGTATTTATTTACCTGTTACTGATTTATTTACCTGTTCCTGGCTACTGATTTATAGAACTTTTTTATATTCTAATATTTGTTTACTAGTGATGAGGATCAAACCCAGGGCCTCATGTATGCTAGACAAGCACTCTGCCAGTGAGCTACATTCTAATATTGTAACAGTCTTGATATTCTAACATTTAGAAATAAAATGTTTAATACATGCATACACATAAAA